TAACTCTTGTGCTATGGGTGTCCTATTAAGGAATTTGGAGCCCGACCCCACAATATGTAGATCGGAGCCAACTTTTTCTTCTATCAGACACAGAGTCTCTGATTTGATATCTAGCTCCTTGATCCACTTTGAGTTGTGATTTATGTATTGAACAAACAGGATATAGAGTTTGGCCTATAGAGTTTCCAGTCTGGATTTTATGGATCACATCCCTGTAGATTACTTGTTTTTCTGTTTTCCCTTTATTTTTATTTTTTGATACTGGGAATTGAACCTGAGGGTGCTTTACCACTGAGCCACATCCTCAGCAGTTTGTTTGTTTGTTTGTTTGTTTGTTTTGTATTTTATTTAGAGATAGAGTCTCACTGAGTTGCTGAGGCTGGCTTTGAACTTGGAATCCTCCTGCCTCAGACTCCTAAGTTGTTGGTATTACAAGTATGCACCACCACATCAGGCTTTTTTCCTTTTAAATTGATATTTTGATTTAGAAGCTGGACCAGACTCGGATTCAGCTATCTTTCAGGATGAGTATTCATAGGTGGTGTTTGGTTCTTCCTTTGGGAACACAAACTGACTCTCTCCTTTTTTGATATTAGCAGTTGTTGAGTCTTTGCCTAGGACCATCAATTCATTTGTGGCTGCAAAATGGTGATATTCTGATTCCATCATTTCTCATTTATTATACTGTTATTCTACACAATATATACATTTACTACCCAGAATATTTCTATAAAGCTCAACTCATTCTCATCTACTATTTACTAAATGGGTACCTATACCAGGCATTTTATATGTAATGTTTCATAAATCAAAGCACTAATAATTTGTCAGCCATTGCCCCATATAATTAACTCTCAGACATTTTTCATTTGGTTGAAATATTTCCCTTCCTCTTTTTGTCCTTCTTTTCTCATATCCCCTTTGTTTTTCTTTTGGATCTTACTTATTCCCCCTTGGGATTGGTTTCTGCAGAGATAGTCACATCAGTGACCCCTATGAGGTTACCAGGAGAGCTGGAAACTCTCAGCACAGAGAGAATAAATTCTCTCTCTCTCTTTTCCAGTGCTGGAGATGGAGCCCAGGGCCTCTCATGAGTGAGGCAAGTGGTCTACCACTGAGCTGCGTCTCCAGACCCAGTAATTGAGTTTACACGGTGTTCTCTTTTTGGCTGTTCAAGAAAACACAGTGGTTTCCCAGCAGTACTACCCAGTGCAGCTGGATTTACTGGTGGTGTACCTGAGCAGGTCAGGTTTTACTGGAATCCCTGAGATTTGAAGGACGAAGCTCATTCTGGAATGTATGTGTTCAAATTTACCATTTTGGAGGTGACTCATTATAGCTTTCAGCCTGTTTATGAAGTTTGTGAGTGGACTGCTAAATTGATTGTTTTGTTTTGGTAGTTTTTTTTAAGCTGTTTTTTTTTTTATTAAAGGGTTTAAATCAATATTTTAAGTGCCATTTGTGTGATATAAGAGGCTATCCAATACTAAATCAAAGAATGCTGTGATTTCCCATAAAACTGTTTCTGGTCCACAAAATCTTAGGGTACTAGAAAAAAAAATCTTTGCAGGTAGAGGCTCAGCTTTTGTTGAAGAGATGAGACCCAGAGGCAAGCAGAGAGAGACATTTTTAGGCAAATGAACCTTCAAATAATACCAGAGCACCTCCAAGGCTGGGTTACGGTAAAGCACTTCACCCAAATGTTCAGGCCAGTCTGGGCTGGAGGAATCAGTCTTCCTGAGGTGAGGCTCAATCAGGTTATTTAGGGAAAGGAAGTAAGGATTTGGAGGGTTAGGTCAAGTCCTGGTGCTGCCACTTCCTAGAGAGGATTTCTAGACTTGAATTTCTCTGGGTTTCACTTAGAATGGTTGTAAAAATTAACCAAGATCATGCCAGCATTTTGAAAATCTTAAAGGCCTATTCAAATGGAAAATATCTTAATCAATATTTGTTTTAGTTGTTAAAAAAAAAAGGCATAATAGAGATGGCACAGTAGGATGTACCTGTAGTCCCAGCTACGTGGGAGGCCGAAGGAGGAGGGACGCTTGAACGCAGGAGTTCCAGGCCTGGGCAACATCCAGAGACCCAGTCTAAAAACAAAACAAATCAAACAACCCACGAAACAAAAATTAATTGCATAAGTTAAGAAAAAAATGTAAACTATTATATAATCTCATTTTTTAAACAGATAAACTTTTTTTTATAACTTAATTTTATTCATTCATTTTTTATGTGGTGCTGAGGATCAAACCCCCAGTGCCTCCCACATGCTACGCAAGCACTCTACCCCCAGCAGCAACCCCAGCCCCATCTCATTTTATTACTTTTATTTTTGCATATCATTTCAAATTTTAGACTTTTAGTAATGTCAGAATACCATTTCATATTTTTCCTTTGTAGCTTAACATTTTATTATTAATATAACTCTGGGTTGCTGTCTTATCTTTATACTTACATGTGATAACCACAGTGAAACATTTAAGCAGTTTCACTTTTACATATGAAACTGCCACGGCCATCTTTGCACAGGAATTATTTCCTTAGGATAAATTCCCAGGGGTGTGATGACTGGCTGAAAATATATGGGTGTTTTTATGACTCTTAATAGATTTTGCCATATTGCTTTCCAGAGACTCGTAACAATGAACCTGACACCAGCAATGAATGTGTGTCATTTAAAATGCTTATTTTAAATCAATTATTCACCAGCCATATGTGAAGGCATGTGCCAGGATCCTTGTCTGCCAGGAGCTTCCATTTCTGACTCATTCATTCATAAGAACTAAAGCAAGAAGACGGTGTGTGCTGACTGAATGAAGAGTTCTATCAGCGTTCTAGAAAAGCCAGCATATTGTTGTCTACAATGCTTGCTTGCCTGCTTGTTTGATTTTTTTTTTAATTTTATAGATCTAGTGATATATTTGCAAATTTTCTGAAACATACAGAAAACCAGCATACGGTGCATGACGTGGAATCTTCCACAAAAGTGTAGGTAAAAGCAGGTTTTTGTTTTTTTTTCGTCCTACTAGTTTTCAAAAGCTTATCTTTTTCTACCTATCAAGGCCTTGGCTTTTTTTTTTTTTTTTTTTTTTTTTTAGTGGGAGCAGGGGCTGTCAATGAAATAGGTAATGTTTCAAGAGGATGACTGAACCCCACGTGGGTATTAATATGTATGATTTCAAGCTATGGAATTATAATGACATTCATCATCTGGGCATTTGTATCTTTCAGATTTTCCAAGCTCTTTCTTGTATTTTTCTCATTTGATGCTCACAACAATTCCATGAGGAAGGCTGGGATGGCATTATCACCTCCATTTGACTAATGGGAGACCTGAGGAACAAAGAGATTTGCTTAAGATAGCACCCCTTCTCAGGGTGGACACACCTGCTTTTCTCTTGTCTCCTGGCCTTTTCATCTTTTGGTACTAGAGACTGAGCCCAGAGGTGATCTACCACTGAGCTACCTCCCCAGCCCTTTTTATTGTGAAATAGTGTCTTGCTAAATTGCCCAGGCTGGCCTTGAACTTGGGATCTTTCTGCTTCAGTCTGAGTAGCTGGGATACAGACACATACCTGTAATGTCTCTAAACATAACTCACTGAGGTTCTCAAATCATCTGAGAATTGCTTGCAGTCTCAGCCATAATTTTCATCTAATATCAGCTCTCAGGACCAGATACCAATTTTATTAAAACAGTCAGCATGCCAGGTTGCTAGTTTGTAGAAACCCAAAGCAGGTACACTCCTGGAATCCCAGCTACTCAGCAGGCTGAAGCAGAAGGATCATGAGTTCAAAGACAGGCTCACCAACTTAGTGAGGCGCTAAGCAACTCAGTGAGACCCTGTCTCAAAATTAAATACAAAAAGAGGGGGATGGGGCTGTGGTTCAGCAGTAGAGCGCTTGCCTCACACGTGTGAGGCACTGGGTTCGATCCTCAGCACCACATACAAATAAATAAACGAAATAAAGATATTATGTCCATTTACAACAAAGCAAAATATTTTTAAAAATACAAAAAAAGGGCTGGGAGGGGGGACTGGGGATGTGGCTCAAGCGGTAGCGTGCTTGCCTGTCATTCGTGCGGCCCGGGTTTGATCCCACATACAAAGATGTTGTGTCTGCCGAGAACTAAAATAATAAGTAAATATTAAAAATTCAAAAAATAAAAATATTTTTTAAAAAAAGGGCTGGGGATGTGGCTCAGTGGTTGAGTGCCCCTGGGTTTAATCCCCAGTACTATTAAAAAAAAAAAGAGTGAAACATAAATTAACTTTGTTTTTCATTATAAAAAAAACATAGCTTCAGAAATATGAACATTATATTTAGACAGTCAGACTGTGTCCTTTCATGAAGAGAGCTTCATCTAAGACATTGTAAAGACAATATCTAATTACCCATCTTCCCATAGATAAAAGCATGAAGTTCAAGTCTCCAGTCAGTGTTTTTTATTATTATTGTTGTGGTTGTTGTTAATATTATTATCATTATCATTACTCCCCAAAAGTCTAGCTTTCTGTAAAGACTAAAGGCTTAACTCATTCCATCCCACCTACTTAGCTTACGTCCTCTCCAGTTTCTGGTTTTGAACTTATTCCATTTGTTCACCTGGGAAAAAGGTAAATATAACAAAAAGAAATCAAGCCCTGACTCCACACAGTAGCTAACCGAGCATCTTAAATCAACACAGCCAGTGTAACTTGTACAGATTCAAGTAATTATTTTTGTCTGTAGGGTTTCCCATTGTCTCTCCTACCCAAACTTCCTGATCCTCAGACGCTCAACAATGAAGGCCCAGATGTTTATTGGTACAGAGCTCATGCTCGGCTTATGAAAGAAGATGCCATTTACAGTCCTGTCTGTTGGACCTTTGGTGTCACACCCTCTCTTTTGACTCCATAAAAGCAGTAGCAAAAAGCATTCCTCGAGACACAATGGAGCAACTTAGTAGCCGCCCCAGAGCTGGAGTTGGTATTAGGTTACCATTGTGTATGTTTTGTTTTTCATACCATACAGGTTTACAGGAAAGTTGGGATAAGGTCAGAGAAAGTGCGTAATCGTTATCAGTTTGCTGAGGCCACACCCGAATGCCAAGTTGGGTGCTGAAACAAGATGGAACTTGATGATTATTTGGAACTTAAAGCAGCAAATGTTACCTTAGAAATAAGACTGTTTCATAGAGGTGTACAAAGTAGACCAAAGCCCGGCCCAAGCAATTTCTTTCAAAATGATGGACATTCTTTCGGGCTGATTATGTGCACCTCTTTGTGTGTCACACTACACAGTGTGCCTGCGAAACCCAGACTGGCCACAGCTGACCATCCCAACAGCTGGTACTTGGGTCCTGGCCGCACACTGTCTACAGCACTGCCTATTATCACACCAATTGAGATCTGAAACAGATTTGCTCTTGTTCCCAGAAAGAAACTCATATAGCAAAAGCTTGATAGAGTTTAATTAACCTCTCTCCTATTCAGTCCTATGATCCTGGTAATAACACCGATCATCTAGAACATTTGCTCCTACTCTAGCTGCTCGCATGCTGTTTTAATGAAATTCGTATCTGGTCTTAGGAGCTGTCATTAGTTGAAAATTATGACCAAGCCTGCAAGCAACTCTCAGATGATTTTGAGAACCTCAAGGATTATTGTTTAGAGACACTACAAGCTACATTGGTCAATCTGTTTCTTTTCATTTCAATTGAATTTACTCAACATTCATTGCATTCCTACTGTGTGCCAAGCACTGTGGTTACAAAAATGAACGGGATGTGCGGTTTGCACCCTGAGGACTTCTTGATCTAGCAAGTTTGGGGGCCTGTCGTTCTTCCCTGACTTCTCACACAGCCATACTCTACTCCCACCCAGATGGGGCCCTGTTTCTCTTTATACCACATGTGGGTGTGTTCTTCTCCATTCTGCTACGGTTAAGCTGTCTCTTAGCCATGTTCCTCTCTCTGCTGTGGTTCTTCCTTTTTCCCAGGTCTGAACAGAGGACTGAAGAGGATGGGCATGTTTATGTGGATTTGAGGATGAGGCCAGTTGTTACTATCAAATCAGTGGAGCCACAAACTTGGTGTGCCATGGATTCCTCAGGGGAAAAAAAATAGTCATGCTGTGTTTTCTGAGTTATGGGAATCGAAGGAGTTGTGATTTTAATTCCCCAGAAGCATTTGAAGGCAAAGAAGACTCCAGTCTTTTATTCCTGTCTCCTGTTGGGGGAGAGTTTGCTAGTCATCACTGACCATTCACTGGCCTGGCTCAGGATGGCTGTTTAGAAGTTTTAATTGAAAAATTGGCTTGAATTTTTCAGTTTGGACCTACAGATGAGAATCTACATTTTGAGGCAAAATTGAAAATGAGCAATTTGCCTTGAAAACAGGCATGTCTTCCAGCTTCCTATGACTAATGACACATGAAGGGAGTAATCACATAATTAGTTTGCCATTACTAAGAAACCATTTTCAGAGTCCATGAGATGTGGTTTGTAATAATTTCAGTGGTTCTGCACCAACAACCTAGACTTTGGAGGCCCACATTTGAAGACAAAGACCCAATTTCCAATGATAGAGCCATGGGGAATTCTTCTAACTGGGGGACAAAGCTTGGTGTAACTCATTTTCTTTGTATTTTGCTTAGAATCCAACCCTTGGATCAGGTTCAGGAAAAAACGTCCTTGAGGATTTGTAAACTTTTTACAGATCTCAGGCCCTACTCAGTTCATATGTTCGCCTTGATTCCATGCTGAGATGGAGAGTTTGATGGATCATATATCTTTTGTAATTTTTTTTTCAGCTTGTATTACTATAAACTATAATTCCAGATAGACTGGGCTACTTTTTTTAAAAAAAATTAACTAAAGGGAAATTAAGCTGTAAGGAGTGTGTGTCTGAAAATGTTTACTGGGATAGTTGGGATTTTAATAAGAGAAACTTAAGTGATCCTATATAATAAGCAAAGTGAAATGGTAAAATAGCCTTTATTTTCCTCATCCAGAGTTAATGTTTAAAAGATTATATAAGTTGAACATTGTTGAATCTGGGTCATGGGTATTTCAGAGTTTTTATTCTGATTTTTTATATGTTTGAAATT